AAATATGAAGAACGGAAAAAATAATGATTCTATGTTCCAGATTATCGATGTAAAAATCACATGTTAGTAGTGTTACTGGAATCCCTCAGCGTGTTTGCGCCAGGCGCTGCGCCAAATAGTTTTGAAAAAAAAAACCTCAAGGCAGGATAAAAACAAAAAAAAAACCTCAAGGCAGGATAAAAGTTTCCCTCCTTCTACCTTCAGTGCAAACAGTCTCCTTGATATCTGCTTAAGAGGTCTAAGCAGATATCAAGGAGACCGCTTGCACTGAAGGAAGAAGGAAAACTTTTATCAAGCACTTATAGTAATTGAAATATACGTATGTGGAAGAGGAAAATTAGCAAGTAAGATTTGGTCCCTCCGGCAAACTATCATTTCGTCAGGCGGTAGGTATTTTATAATCCATGGATTGTAGGGCTAAGCTGTAGGATAAAAGAGAAGCGGTGGCTTTATATTTGAATTTCTCCTCCCTCTACAAATATTTGCTTTCTCGCCAGTGCTTTTAAGGATATATCAAGTCACAGGAAGCCTTCTTTTCATCCCCTTCTCATTTCCATGAAAAATGCCAAACAGCACAAAACGAATATTTTTAGCCATTTCAGTTTAATGAGTTCATATTTCGATTTTTGAGCCTCTCTTTTGAATTTTCGGCAGACGCATCAATCCGATGGGCTGAATGTGGTTGAAATTTGAAAACTTTTCGAATTTCAACGTTCCGGAATCGAATATTTTTGCCCGAATTATTCCCTGCAAAAAAACGGCATTTTGAACAGAGATGTGGGAAATTCAATCAAATTTTCTTTTACTTCTGCTCCCAGACGAACGAACTTGCGATCCAATTTACTGACATTCCGTATTCCACAAGTTTAACGTTCATTTACAAAGCGAATATGACAGTAACTAATCACTCATGCTTTGCTGGCCGCTCTTTTATTATCTTTCATTATACTGTCCAGCATTCTGTTTCCCAAACTTCCTGGACCTGACATCTTCGCCTTATTGATTTCTGGTACTCGAGCGTAAAAAAGAATCTTGATTTCTTAAATACGTAGCTGTTCACAATCAGGCAGAGAACACGGAAGCCCAAACAAACTACTAAGTTCGTATGTTTGATGAACTTGTGCTAAAGTTCGTTTATTCGTTTCGATAGTAAATTGGTACTGGCATGTGCTAAAGGGTCAAACCAGTCATCAGCTTGCTTATAATCGGTCTTCGAAAGAAGGTACCATCGCCAACCTTGCCAGCGAGTGGATGCTATTGGTATTTATAACCATTCGGGCTACTTCCTTAGTGGCTTCGCCTCTTACAAGGAGAGAATACGGAGGGGGCTAACTTTCGATCTTGACTTTGTTACTTGATCAGCTGCAGTTCGTAGCGCGGTCCTCCAACGAACTTAGCTGACGACAATTTCCCAGTTGCTCTGACGAATACTGCGTTGCGTGATGGTCAGTCTGCTAGAGATTCTGATTTTTCTTTCACCCTAAAGAGGGATTACGGGTGCTCCACAGGGATTACGGTTTTCCTTCCCCTCCGGCTGCTCCAATTGGAACGTCCACTTATGATTGGCCTTCTAGTGGCTGCTACTTATTATTCTCCTTAGATAAATCTTGCAAACACGAATTGTAGGTTAGTAAACGCAGGTTAATAAATAATTTTTGCAATCAGGCTGTAGGTGTCGTGAATGAGAAATAAACTGTGCAATGTGGCAAGAAAGGAATTGACAAAATAGAGAAAGGAGTGGCAATGCGAAATCAAATTTTCAGACTTTTAAGGTTATTTACATAATCAAAATATGCTAAGTGGCTAGTAAATGCTTGGCCGGAAACCAAAATGTTGCTCAAAAGCAAATTATTAGGTTCCCAGTAGTGATTTAAAGCACAGTATTGAAAGAACGTGAAAAAAATACGCAACTTCTCACATTTTCATTTCCCAATAGACAATCGACCTATTAGGCTTGACAGAATGCAACGCAGTTTTGATACGAAGAACAGTCGAGTAGTATAGATTTCCAAAATCAAAATTTCAGCTTTCCAATTTCCATAGCTCAGGATCATGCATCACACTGGTCTACACCATACACACATACGCATCTGCATGCACACTCATACGGACATATACACATGCATACATATAAACATATACATACGCCCACAAATACATATAAACATACATGCATACAATATACGTTTTGTCTTCATTATACATATATACACGCATACATTATAGAGATATATAAACAAAAACACACTAATGTACGTACACAGTTACACGCATACATCCGTACATCATACACGCACACATATACACACATACATACCTACATAAATACTTACATACAGACATATGTACATGAATACATGCACACATACATACAAGCATACACACATACATACGTGCATAAATACTTACATACACACATACACATACATACATACACATACGTACATATACATACATACATGCATACATGCACACACACATACAGACGCACATACACACATACATGCGTAAATATATACATACACACATAAACAGAGGAATGATCATGCCATGAGACTTTTTAGTCTGCCTGAAAAACGTATAAAAGCTCATCAAAAAAGGAACTGAATGGAGAAGTGGAAAAAGAAATTGTTTTAGCATAATTTTGCGAACAAATAGAGGAGCTCTCAAGTTAATTAAAATTGTGCTCCATTTTTTCGCTTCTTTTTTTCTGGTATTATCTGGCATTCTCATTAAAAACTCAGCAC